CTGCACTGATAATGATGCTAAAGTGGTCAGAGAGGACAGGGTTGTGAGGAAATCCTGTTATTTCTTCACATTCTATGCCGTATGTCAGCACAAGATCCAAAGTATGAAGATGAGAATGTGTGGGACTATTCACATTTTGAACAAAGCCAATAGTGTCTAAGATAGCATTAAAGGCAGCATTAAATAAATGAATCTGATATAATTAAACCTGTAATCAGCTGTCTTTTATTGCTGTCAAAGTACAGATGCATGCAATAGCGTAACGACACAACAATAGGGCTGTAAGCAACTTTATCTGGGTGGGCCCCATATGAAGTACAACACGTGATAAAGGTTCAGGATATGGCACAGTGCCATAAATCGGCCAAGAAGATACAATTATGCAATTCTGTGAGTAGTATTATCAGTACTATATGATCACACATCACACCCGCAAAAATAGTGACTGCGCAGCTTGAATTGAACCATTGGTGGCAGCGCACCACCAGATGTTACAGACATCCCAAGTTCCAAAAACTCATTTCAGGGAGATGCTTATCGAGCCGATAACACTCCTCCAGTTTCCCATAATTCAAATTTGTAGTGGAAAAAATAAAATACTCAAATACATTATTATTTTAAGATCTTTATTGTTGTTTGACACATATTATATGAGTGTTTTTTTTTTTTTACCAACCGTCTAATGAACTGCACACAGTTATTAAAAGGGTAATTACTGTAAAAGTACTACTGTCTGCTTTGCTATTGGTGTCATGTTTAAACGGCTCACTATCATGTTGAAATCTGGCATGTGTTGCAGTATAAATACGGTCCAGGTGCGGTCAGTGACTTCAGTATCATGTGGGTTTAAGAGGAATACATGTGCAAAGAGATATCCAAATCTACAACTGAGTAGGGGGGCAACCAGGTGACAGTGATGGGGCCCCTAAGAGGTTGTGGGCCCGTAAGCAAGTGCTATCGCTGCTTATTGATATTTACACCATTGAATGCATGAAATCCTTTCTATACAAGGAGGAAAATTGAGGGGATAAGTATGTTGTTAGCTTAAAAAGGTCAGGACAAACAATAGGCATTACATTTAGAAAAATATGTCTAAGCTTCATTGCATTACCCATCCTCATACCAAGGAGCTGAGAAACTAGTCTAGAAAACTGAAAAACCTCAGTGTCATAACCAGTGTTGTGCCTGAACGCGTTCATTGAACGAAAGTTCATGAACTCGTTCATATTTTGGGCGAA